CAGTAACCCTTCAAAAGTAATCATATCCTTAATTTAGCAGTCATTAGTACCTTTCTGTATTAAATTTTATTTTTTATTAAGAGCTCCAAATGATAAAATAATAAGTCCATAATTCCATGTATTCTTGGGAATCAACTTCAGAAGGGTTGCAATCTGTGAGGTTACCCAAAGAGTTGATCAGTTGGACACTTCGGAGAAAATCCTAGATTCTTCTTGACCTGAAGGCCTGTGTGACTGGGTTCTGCTTGCTCTCCCTTTCCTGCCCCAATGACGTGGGACTTTCCCTCACACTTCATCAGGCCCCTGACGAATGGCAGACTGCTTTCTCTGTTCCCTCCCTTGCTAATGCCTCACCTTCATATTTCAGTTCACTGTTACTTTCCTGAAGACGTCATTGTTAACATCCTTCTGTTGTCTTTGGGGATCTTGTCAAATGCAGTTACATTTGTGTCTTTGTGATTGTTTTAAAGAAAAATCAGTCTGTTGTACTACCCTGTAAGCTGTACGAGTGTTAACACCCTCTTTCCTTCTGGTATTCTGGGAAATACTTGGCATGTATTTGGAATGATAAATTATTGAGTGAATGAGTAAATGACAGGAGAAAATACTGACTTTTTTTTTCCTCATCACAATAGGTCATGTAAATGACAGTGTGATAAGGTTAAAATTAAATTTAAAAATCAGGGTACTTAGAAGGCTTTAAAAGTAGACAAAAACATTGCCCTGTCTTTCTTGCACTTAGTAAAGACTGTTATAGAATTGTTGGCAAACTCATAAGTTGAGAATAGGAAAGGAAACTTTGAAAAACATCTTAAACATTCTGTTAAACTCATCTATTGGCTACATTTCAAAGGGATTAATATAGAGATTTCAAATTACATTTTAGTCAGTGTAATTTCAGCTTAATTTTTGAAATGTGTTAATGTTTTGTTTTACACAGTACTGCATACTTGCTTTGTTACAAAATTGTGGAGTCAGGAGACTCAACCAAGACATTGTACTATAATTAATTTTTCTCTCCATCTTCAATTTAAATGAAAAATGTTCCTACAGTTCTGTAATATTTTTAATCATTTGAAGCCTGTCCAGTATATTTACTTCCCATGAGAGAGCTTAAATAGTCAGTGATTTCATCAGCAAAGAGACAAAAAGGCACCAAGAAGTATGTATGTGTGCCATAACAAATATTTCACTTAAAAGTAATATGCCTTATTTGACCACTTAATGACCTGTGTAGCCTTATTTCTGTCAATAAAAAGGAGCCATTTTACTTGTGTGCTAGATGCTAAAGACCCTGGGTTTATATAGGAATCATAGGACCCTAAAATTCAGTGAAAATTGCAGAGAGACCTTGTTGACTTTTTTAATCTGAGAAAGTCTGCTGAAATGTCTACTTTCCCCTGTTAGCTGCTTCTTACAACTCACCGCTTCTCATGGAACTTAGATAGAGATACACAGAAAAATTCTGGAAGTAGATATATCAAACTGTTCACAATGGTTGCCATTCGAGAGTGAGGGAAGAAATACATGTATATCTTGGCTATTAAAAATACTACTAGCAGCTTAGCTGGTGGTAGTGCAAGCTAGTACAACCACTATGGGAAACTGGAGGTTTCTCAAATTTAATTTCTCAAATTTCCATATAACCCAGCAATCCCACTCCTAAGTATCTATTGAAAAGACACGAAAACACTGATTCAAAAAGACACCTGCACCCTCATGTTTATTGCTGCTTTATTTACAATAAGAAAGACATGGAATCAACCCAAATGCCCAAAAGTAGACGGCTGGATTAAAAAGATGTGGTACATATACACAATGGAATATTACTCCGCAATCAAAAAGATAAACACATTTCTTTTACAGCAAAATGGATGGAACTGGAAGGGATCATGCTTAGTGAAATAAGTGAGAAAGAAAAAGAAAAATACCAGATGGTTTCACTCATAGCAGGAGCATAAAGGACAAGGTGGGGGGAATAATAATAATAATAATGAACAACTATGTACCAAAGACATTTTACAGGGGTGGAGTGGGGAATAGGCTAAAAAATGGAGTGGGGGGAAGTGCACAGGACTATGATGATGGCACATGGGTGATTTGGTGATGGGAAGTCCACAGGTATTACAACTGAGCCATCTCACAAAATGATGTAAAAATAATTATATTTAATTTTTAAAATACTGTTAGAAGCCCTCCCTGGTGACACAGCGGGTTAAAGCACAGCACTGAGAAGCTAAAGCCACTTCCGCATGAGTTTGATTCCCGCCTGCCCAGGAGGTGACCACATGGTGTGGCAGACCTCTCCTGACCCACCCGCTGCTCCCCTCAGCAGTGTACTTCATCGATCTGTCTGTTGTACACCCCAGTCTGTCTCTGGTGAATCCTCTCACCCTCCACATCTCTGGCCTGTACCCAGTTCTGTACGAATAAATAAATAAATATTAAAAAAATACTGTTAGAAGTTTAAAATTTGTAATAGATACGTTACTTAGCCTTTGGTCTTCTCAACTTACAGAAGAAATTTAATATGCCACTTGTAAAGTTACTGTACATAGAAGCAATAACTTATGTAACTCACTGTATTTAGTTTGTTTTTGATCATTTAGTTTTCTGAAAATTAATTTAAAGTGATGACTAGTAATAGCAATTTTGATTTTCCTGGCAATTTCCCCCCTTGAGATTAAGAAAATCGAAGCTTAGTCTCTCTGTTTAACAAATCTTCTCAGGAAAAAAAAAATTGACTTCATTTCATTTAATGTTCTGGGTTTGTTTTCACTTTGGTTTCACCTGAATGTTTTTCATTGAAACTTTAATGAAACTTTTGTGCTGGTGGTTTGTTTGGTTTTGTTTTATCTAGGAATTTTAGTTGTCTTCAATAAAATGTTGTTTTGGTTCCATCATTCTGGTGGAAATTAATTTCATAATTTTTATACCATAATATGCATGGTGTACTACATAATTTCTGTTTGACCTGTGAAGTAGCTTAATAGCCAATAATCACATTTTTATTTCATTCTTTAGACAAACTCAAACTCTTCATTTACCTCCTAGACTTTTGCAAAGCATGCATTTGTTTGAAGATTTGCATTGTGCAGATAAAAACTTGAGAGCTTTTCCCAGGTTAAAATGATGATGGGTGTGATATTGTGGCACCATTTGGAACTTTGACTGCAGGCTTAGGGCTAAATTAAGTTTAGCCCTCCTGCATGTGTGATTTACCTTATTACACTTTCAAACTAAAATTGGATAATTTCACATGTGTCTTTGTTAGGCATCCAGATTTTTCTTAAAACCATCCATTAAAAATTCCAAGAATTTATCAGGAACATATAAACACATCTTTTAAAATTGAACATTCTAATTTTTATGGGTTGTCTTAAATGTATATAGCTCCTGCTTTCTACTGAAGTAGTCTGAATCCCTTTTGAAGTCAGAGAGCCAAATACCTGGATTACACCAAATGGACCTTCTCATAAAAGGATTCTAGTAACCTGACCTTTGGTGGACACCCTGAGTCATGAAGAGCAGCCCACGAAACATCATCACTGTGTTTCCTTAAGAGATGCTGAAGATGCTCTTTATTACATAAGCATAAAGTTCTTCACTAGCATCTCCCATGGGTGAATTTCATTCTGAGGCCCAGAAACAGTTTGATTGCAGACCCTTGATCCCATCTCTCCTTTCCTCTTGCTTGTGGAAAGATTTTCTCAGGGCCTACTCCTGTTGAGTGTACGTAGCTTCATGGAATATATTGCTATTGACAAATCTCACTGTAGGTTACAGATTTACTTTTCTATCCTTATTTTTTCTTTAATGAATTTATTTTCTTGCTGTATCAAATGTATATTTTAAAAACTATGTTGAGTATTTTGGGTAGTACTGGTTATATGCAAAATCATTTGGTGGTGGTTTCAGATAATGCAAATCAGTGAATAACTGTATTTTAGAAATGAAATTACACAATTAAAGTTTACTTTTGCTTACATAAACATTATCAAGATCTAGAAAATTAGATTTCAGTACAATTCACTGTCTCTAGATCCAAAAAAACAAATATACAAATATAGAGGAAACCTCTGTTATGACTTCTGAGAAGGACAGCAGCTTGTTCCCTGTTTGACCTCATTTGTTTCAAAACTAAAATCACTCTTAAATATTGTGTAAATCTCAGCTTATCTGGTCAGCATTTTATTTATTGCTTCTCTGGTACCCAGACAGTGGGTTAACCATAGCAACAGTCCCTTTCAAACTTCATAAGGCCACCTCTGTAATTGTTAGGGAAATAATACCACCAGGTTAAACAAACTGTGACTGTTGGTTTTGTGTATTTACCCTTTCAAAGAGATCTGCTAAACCTTCATTCAGTTCCATGTTGTACATCATTAGAGAAACTGAATTGGGGTATGACTCAATGTTAAACACCATTTTTATGCTGTGTGTAGAGTCAGGTAAAAAAGTTAATGAGGACCTCCCTGGTGGCATCGTGGGGCAAAGAGCAGCACTGTAAGCTAGCCGTAGCCACTTCAGTGCGAGTTCAATCCCCACCCCAGAGGTGATCCACATGGCATGGCAGACCTCTCCTGTTTCTCCTGCTGCTCCCCTCAGCAGTGTACTTCATCAATCTGCTTGTTCTGCTCCCCACTCTTGTCATTGGTGAATCCTCTCACCGCCCCTGTACCTCTGGCCTGTACCCCAGTTCTGTACACATAAATAAAAAAAATCTTTTTAAAAAAAGAAGTTGATGATCAAATAAGCTTTAGAAATAAAATATTATTTTGTATATTGGAAAATCTGATCAAATTCTTCTCTGTACAGTAGAAATCAGAAAAATATGGCTGATTGACTATAATATTTTCATTTTTTCCATAATCAAGTATTTTTTAGTAGATTTTTTTCTGTAGGACCCTGAGGTCTGCATTTATGACTTGGTTGAACCTGTTTTGATGAAATATTTTGAGCAGTTTTAGCACTAAGATTGTTTCTTTTTGTTTCTACAGATTCTGGAACTTTTCAAATCCTGATCCTCTTCTTGAAACAGTGGAACATCACACAGAGTTTACTTGTGGTTTAGATTTAAGTCTTCAAAGTCCTACCCAGGTAATGTGTGTGATCTCCTGATATATATTTTTTAATCCATACAATTCACAGATACTTCTGGTGGCAGAGTTGTTTTTATGAACAAAACTGTTGGCTTTAGAGCAGAACAGTGTATGTTAATCATTCTGATCTCTCTTATTATATGAACTCGAATATTTGAAATGCTAGGGACAAAAGGTTTCCAAAAACTTAGTCCTGTCCCTGTTCTCATGAAAGATTGACTTTTCAGTGAGCCACCCCAAAAGTATTGTCCCTAACATATTGATGGTTTTACATTGACCCTTGTCCCGAGAAAGGGTAATAGTTGAGGAATTGAATGGTTGGTATACTTCTGGAACTTCTGGGCCTAGAGTCAGCTCCTACTAAGTAGTTGGGATGCTACAGTAGACTAGTCATTCCCTTCTCAGGACTGTCACCCTCAACTCCATACTTCATGTGACAAGAGAAGCAGGAAAACAAAATGGAGGAGGATAGTAAGTAGGTCTTTCCACTTAAGGAAAAGCTGAGGAAATTATGGTTATAAACATTTGTGTCATTATAGTCAGAATGAAATGCCACAGTTATTGGTCTACATGGGGAGTTAAGTAAAGGCAGCCTGGGTTGGTATAATTTTACTGGATAGGAGAGGAATGTTGAAGGGTTGCATATATTGGGACAAGGGTAAAAATAGGATCGAAAATAGGCTACACACGAGTCAGGAAAATGTAGTATATCCAGCAATTAGGTTCCTTGCCCGAGCCAAATTTTGGGCTATTTGTACAAAGGTACTTTTTACCTTCAGACCAAACAGTTCTCAAGTACAATAGCAACAATTATAAAAGAAAGAAATTTTTGAGATGTGGTTAGAAAATTTGGGATAGTTGATTTAAAGAGTGACTTGTGGGTGCTAATAGACAAATTTGAGATTTTTGAGGTTAAGATGAGATTTTTGAGGTTAGGAGGGAAAAGGAAGGAAAAAGGGCTAAAGGGCTATAAGGGATTATGTTGTAAAACTTAAGGCAAATGTGAATGATTCATACATAAAATAAAAGTATATATCTTACAGAATAAATAATGACTGTGCTTTGAATTTAGGAAAAGACCAAATATCAATCATCAGTGCAATTTTTAATGTGAAGAATGAACAGTTTAATTCAGAAAAATTATAAGTTCTTACTAGAATATCAATTACTATGAGCACCAAGAATAAAGTGAAATGAGGGGGAAGGGTAAATGGGGTCTTAAAGGCTTTAGTAGTAAAACCACTAGTAGAACCATCCACAATGTGAAGTAATCCTAAAAGTAAGGGTATTCCAGTTATTAGAACAAAAGCCTAAAGGTTTCAGGGATGCATTTCATTGTAGGGAAGGAAAAATTTGCAGGCCTGGTCCAGAGTCTTGGGATAGCTTTCTTCATCAGATGTCATCTGCTTCCTTTCCATGAGGGTGGTGACTGTCTCAGTAGGTCTGTTAGTGATGAATTTAAGTTTTAGTGGCTCCAAAATCTGAGAAATCCATTTGGGGGAGGATTCTTTTTAAGATGAAAAACTTGAATCTATGAGTCAGTCAGTGCCTATTGATCTAGCAGCACAGAGATTTGTCAGCAGTACCTGGTAGGGTCCCTTCCAAAAGGAATTGAAGATAGATGTCTTCTCCAGTACATGAAGTCTCTTGGCCAGAGATGGTGGTGTTCTGCCTCTCCCAGGTATGCACTGTGGAGTGACTGTCTTACCAACTTTGAATTATTTTTTCAGGGCGCAGATGCATTCCTTGTGGTTGGTTAAAACAGCTCGTTTTGTAAGGATAGGTTGTTTAAGCCTTGATCTAATTTCACAGTCCTGAGTATAATTATTTCACAGGGAGATTGGTCTGTATTTACGAGAATGTGTTGGTCTAAGGGTAAGCAAAACCAGGGACAGTTTTTGGTGATAGGAGACTGAAGGATTCAATCTTTAAAATTCCATTTGTTCTTTTGATCAGTGCAGAAGATTGAGAATGGGAAATGCACCAAAAATGTTAAAATGTTGGAAGATTAGTTGATTTTCCAAGCAAATTGTATGCTTTGACCTATAAAATGGGTCATTATGAAGCTTTAAAGGAAATCTCCAAAGAGCATTTTTTTAAGATTTATTTATGCCTACAGAACTGGGGGTACAGGCCAGAGGTGCAGGGGCAGTGAGAGGATTCACCAGAGACAGAGTGGGGAGCAGGATAGGCAGATCGATGAAGTACACTGCTGAGAGGAGCAGCGGGTGGGACAGGAGAGGCCTGCCGTGCCATGGGGTCACCTCCAAGGCTGGTGATTGATCAAACTCTCACTGAAGCAGCTGTGGCCAGCTTGCAGTGTTGCATCCTAACCCGTTGCGCCACCAGGGAGGGCCCCCAAAGAGTACTTTAATCACTGTGTGTGCGATCACTCTCAACATGGAATGTTTGAACCCAGTAAGAAAATATGCAGACCATTGCTAAAACACATTTATACCCTTTCAGTGGTAGTTATGGGTTAAAGCCAATTGCCATCTCTCAGTTGAGTCTGCCAGAAAGGAAAATGGCTCACTGAGGTGAATAGGTTTACCCAGACTATGGGGCAGATAAACTTTTGAGGCAATTTTTGGGAGCTGGTTTCCAATAATATTTTTTGCTACTATTTCTTATATTGTGATATATTTCTTGTGATACCATTTTTGTATTCCCAAAATACAAATAAAGTCCCATGGGTTTTATAGTCTTTTTTTATTACTTGCCTGAAAGAGATTAAAAATCCCGTGTTTTCAAAGTAAGCCAGTGTGTAGCCAGGTTTCTGTAGTGTAGTGGTTATCAAAGTAAGCCAGTGTCTTCAAAGTACGCCAAAATCATGAATAACTCCACAGACATGTCTGCCAGCAGTATAAATGTTAGCAACTTACTCCTCAGCCACGTCGCAAACGAGGGTTAAGGCAGTAAGTTCTGTCTGTATTTCCCTGGAGCAGCACTATTGGTGGAAGGAGCTTGGAAGTAAGTCCTTTGGAAAGGGTAATTTACTTATTAATTGCTGCATTTGAACTTGTCTTGCTTGGATGTGTACATTTAGAGCTTGTGTTGTCTTCTTGGTAGCATTTTGAAGGGCTTTAGAGGGTTGGTCAGTCAAATTCACCTCATCACAAGTTGTCTGGGTGGGTGATCTAGTTAAGTTGGTGTCAGCAACTTAACTTCCTCTAGCCTTTAATCAAATGAAGAATTGAGGAGGGAAAGTTACTATAGCTTATATCATTATGCCTGAATATTGTTTAAAACTCTTTTAAAATCAATCACATTCTTTTCAGATCTTTGTACATTGTTGAATTGTTTTCTGTCTATAATTTTGAGGAAGAAGTCAATGGTGGCTCTGGGGGGATCTTTCTTAATATAAGAACATTTATTTAATCAGTTTTTTTTTCTGTCAAATCTAAGGAACTTTTTTAGTTTATTTTGGCTCTTAGACTATAAGTTGGTATAGATAAAAATAACAAAAATAACATGTTTCATAAGTATGGATGACCAAGTTAATCTCTTTGCAAAGCCTATAGGGCCCAGAAGAGTATTAGAGACTTTTTTAGTAATTGTCTGAAGTTCAAATTTTGTCTATGAAGTATATGTAATTGGCAGTTTCTGCCAATTTGTCTTCATTTGACAAATAAAGACATTTAATGAGAATATTTTTTTGGATATATGAAAGCTGAGAGCACGGCTCTGCTAGAAGAGATGTTAAAGTAGTTTTGTCAGAGGGAGAGAGAGAAGCAGGAGGAGGGGAAGGAAAAGAGGAGAAAGGAAAATGGGATGGAGATATAAGAGGGAATAGAAGGAGGAGGAAGAGAAAGAGGGAAAGGAGAAGGGGAAAAAAATCTCTTGAAATGCCAAAAATGAAGTAAATATACAAGATATTTTTGAACTTAATTTGATCACTCTGAAAAATAAATAGGCAAAAAAAGGAGTGTAATATATGCAAAAGTAAAATGTATAAATAAAATAGAACAAAGGAAGTGGGGAAAATTAGATTTTTGTAAAGTTACTACTACATGCGAAATTGTGTAGCATTATGTGGAGGCTAATTTGATTAATTGAAGATGTATAATACCTACAGTAGCCGCTAATAAGTTATAGTAAAATAGTATAATTAATATCCTAATAGTGGAAAAAATTATATAAAGTAATCAATTACCTCAACATAATAAAGACCATGTAGAAAAAATTCACAGCCAACCATATTCAATGGCGAAAAACTGAAAGGTTTTTTTTCCCCCTAAAACTAGGAATAAAAACAAGGTTATTTTATTTCACCACATCTATTCAGTTTCACATTGGAAGTTCTAGTCAGTGTAGGTAAGTAAGAAAAAGAAATAAAAGGGGTCTAAATTGGAAAGGAAGACGTAAATATTTTTGCAAATGATATATGATCTTAGTATGATAGAAACCTTTAAATCCAGTCATTTGAACAATTAAATAAAAAGTAAATGGTCTAATTTTTTTTAAAAGTAGTTAAAAAACAGATCGATATGTGAAAGAATGAGAAACTCTGAAGATCAAGATTTTGTGACCTGTTAGATTTGGGACCTACTTGAAGAAAGGATTTGAGTCTAGATCAAATTTTTATTTCCAATGATCAGTTTTTTTCTCTTCTCCTTATAGTTTTTTTCTCTTCTCCTTATAGATTTATTTCTAAAAGCTTATCCTTTTAATCTGTTTTATTTATATTCTGATTTGAACTCTAAACTTTCTTTTCTTTTAAAACAAGATGATAATCTTAACCAACATTTTAGGTTTTTGGTTTTTTTTTACATATCTTCAACATATTTTAATGCAAACCTTTGTATTATTAATATTATTTATGTTTCTATCAAGTAATATTAAGCTCCCTTTTGGAGGAGATAAGTATGAAGTTCTTTGTGTATCTCCCTACTTTTCTCTCACTTATCTATTGCTGTATAACTAACTACCCTACAACTAAATGGCCTAAGAAGTAATATTTGTTCACAATTCTGTGAGTCAGCCATTTGGACTCGACTC